GAGAAGATGCTTCTGCTGGCCTCCCTCTTAACAAATATTCACTGCCTGTCCCTGTCAAAATGCTTCCTTTTCAACACAAATTCCCTTATGCATAAACACAAGGATGCATTTACTCCTCAAATGGCAGCCCAATGCCTCTGCTGCTAATCCCACCTCAGTAGGGGAAAATTTCTCTCTCTTCCTTCTAGACGATTCATTCATCCTACAGGCCAGACTGGTAAAGAGACAAGCTTGTTTGTAATGCCTGAACTGGGCAGTAGCCAGAGGCTGCTCCAGTTGCACAGCTGTGCTCTTGTTGCCTGTATCCAGGTCAGGCAGAGTATGCCAGTCTATCTGTTTTCTCTCCTGATGCACTAAATAACTGAGTAAGGAGAGATCTGTGTCCTTCCCTCCCCGGCCTGCCCTTCCTTGGTGTTTGAATGACTGGGAAATCCCTCAACCTTTCTATTGCACTATGTGTAACTGGATAAACATATCTGTTTCCTTTATACCTGTTCTCTCCTAGGGCTGGAAGTCAGCAGGATCAGGTGATTTTGCTGTTCCCAACACTTCCCAAGTAGTCCCAACAATTTCTGCAGAATTTATTCTTATATAAAAATCATTAAGTCATTAGCCTTTCTGACTGCACAGAAAGCCATCCAAGTATGAGTCAGAGCCCTTCAGTCTGGTTGGAGCTGTTTATATTAGGCAAGCGCACCATTGCAAGGACAGTAATTACATTAAATTACTGGTTGCAAGACTTATCCTTGCAACTGATGAGCAGTATAGCTGGGCAGCGACTGTTCTTCAAACCTCTGAGTTGGAGTGCCTATGCTTAGTACACTCTAGACAGCATTACCAGTATTTTACAGCAGGGGTGTCAAATGTATGGCCCATGAACCAGATATAGCCTGCAGCGCCATGTTTTCTGGCCTGGGGGGCTCCCATTGGGACTGGGAATTGGGGGGCAGGCTGAGCAGTGGTGGGGCCCACCACCAAAATTCTGGGTACAGAGCCCTGTTGGGGATGTGTCAGCAGTAAAGGAGTGAGTGAAAGCTGCATTAGCACCCGCTGCCACTGTTGCTGTGTCTAGATTCAGGCAACAAAAAGCCCTGGGGTTCAGATTCAGCCCACAAGGAGGGGTTTGACATACCTACTCTACAGCACTGCAGGAGGTAGCTGGTTGCAGTGCCTGTGTGTTCCTGTCATTACTTTTTGGGGAAAAATATAATTCACTTTTGCAGGCGAATATGAGATAATGATTTGCTCTAAGGTGCTGCATCAAATCAATTGTTCTAACAGTTACACAAGTTGTGTGGATATGTTTTTTAAAGGAGTTAGAGATGCTAGATATTACACCCAATAGTTTGTAGCAATGATGTTTTTCTAATGTAGGTGGGCCCCGTATGTCCATAGCAGTTCCAATGTTTAAATCTGAGAGGTGTGAATTGTCCCTTTCATATTGACAGATTGTTAGATCTGAAACCTAATTATGTCTTTTCCCCATGTAAGATATTTAGAGATGTCTTGAATTTAGTTACTGAACACAATCAAATAAGAGGGGATGAAAACTGCTCTCTCCTTTCTCGAGAATCGTTTGTTGCCCTTCACTTGAGGTAGATTCATAGATTCATAGATGTTAGGGTCGGAAGGGACCTCAATAGATCGATTCCGACCCCATGCATATGCAGGAAAGAGTTCTGGGTCTAGATGACCCCAGCTAGATGTTTATCTAACCTCCTCTTGAAGACCCCCAGGGTAGGGGAGAGCACCACCTCCCTTGGGAGCCTGTTCCACACCTTGGCCACTCTAACTGTGAAGAAGTTCTTCCTAATGTCCAGTCTAAGTCCAGGTATGTTTTATTTTTTTTATAACAACCTTCTATTTGCTGGCTGACTTTTGCACAATGCTAGTTTTGTACTGGACAGTAGGGACAGTCATTCTAGCACATAGTTTCCAATACAGCAGTGATTCTCAGACCTTGGCTTCCAAGCCACAATGGAATTATCACCTGTCTCTTCACAGAAAATGTTATCAAGGTTTCGGTTTTTTGTTTTCCCATACACTGGTCATGTCTTTTCTGAAATCATCAGTAATGCAATATATGTGCCATCTATCTCTGGTGGACTGTACAAATGTTAACTGATGTGTCTGCTTGCTTTCTTTTGAACTGGAGTGCACTTGACGTGTTTCACTTAGAGGTGTGTACAGGGTTCCCCCGCTTTATGCGGTACATGCGTTCCTGGAAAGTGGTGCATAACTTGAATTCACATAAAGGGAACCCACTTTACAATGTAACAAATAGGGATACGCTCCAAGACCTCAATTGTACTGACCTCCAGACCCATTTCTACCACTTTTACAAGACAATTTTGGTGCTCGCCAACACCAGACAGTACACAGGAGCACTATCATAGTGGGGATGGCAACTACAGAAACACGTGTCGCAGTCAACAAGGGAGGAGCACAGATCCACACAGGAGACTGTATTTTGGTGTGTGTCATTCTCACAATGCACTGCATAAAGCAGCTGACTGTGAGCTTCCACCACACCGATCGCATAAGAGTGAATTTACCTCGAATGTAACACTTTTTTGGTATCAAAAGGGTCATTGCATGAGAGCTAATTCACACATACAGAACCTGCATAAAGCAAGGGAAAGCTGTATGTTGTGGTGGCTTTTTGGCTAACACTGACTGCTCAAGAGGTCCTTTGTTCACTAGGAGACTGTCAGTGCAACAGCGCACTGCATAGTCCCACAGCTCTCTATGCCTTGCTTCTAGCTCATTAGTCTCACTTTGCGAAGATAGAGAATCACTGTCCCTGGTCAACATAGGGGAGAACATGTAAATAAGTATGAAGTAATTGAGGTATCTTGGCCTTGGCCCATTATCAGGATTTTGAAGCCTGGAATTGGGGACCTTGAATCAGTCCTAGAATCAGATGCGCTTAGGGAATGCGTTCCTTCTGCTCTGCATGAGACCTACTGCATCCAGCAATGGCATACCTAGTTAAGTGAATGAAAAGCACTAAATGTTATTGATGGTGCAGTCACCTACCCTGAAAATCTTCAAAAGGAGCCTGGACAGTCACCTCGCTGGGGTCACTCGACCCCAGTTGTCTTTTCCTGCCTAGTGCAGGGGGACCAGACCCAATGATCTACAAGGTCCCTGCCAATCTATGAATCCACGATGGTAATCCAGTGCAGATCATTTTAGAGGCAACATCCATCCAACATGCTCCCCTGCCTCTAATTTCCAGTTACAAAGCCTGGTAAGCATCATTTATATTATTCATAATGTGTATTTCAGTGGCATCTATACCCCTGGCCTATCTGACCTTGAGATCCCAGTGTTGTAGGCTCATTCATACTCTAGTAAGAGACAGGCTCTCCCTTGACCGCTTTCCAAACAAAACCGAGGTAGCTGACAAAGAGGGGAAGTAAGGCAAAGCCAACCGCTGGAGGTCACACAGCAGTCCTGACCTAATGCTCCTCACTCCTGACCCAGTGTGTGCGTCAGGGGGGACGTGTGGCGGGCACGGGAGTCCCAAGCAGCCCCTCACAGGCTGGAGCTCTGCCAGCCTGCAAGGAAAAAGCCTTAGGCCCAGCCCCACATTTTTCTCCTTGAAAGGAGCATCCGGTTTTAAAGTTTGCGGGCCCATCTTCACGTGCGTTCGCGACCCCTTCACAAATCCTTGGGCCCCACTGTTGGGCCTTATCCCGCGTGGTCTCTCAGCTCCGCTCCTGGGCGCGAGGTGGCCGCGCAGAGCCTGGCGGGCCCGGGGCTCCCTCCCCTGCCGTGCACCGCCCCGCGCGCTCCTGGCAGGGCCGTCCCTGCGGCGCCCCGCTCCACGTCCGGATGCCGTCTCCTTGCTGCGGGAAACACTAGAGGGAGCCACCTCAGGCCGGGGGGCCGCGGGCAGCAGGAGGGAGCTGCAGAGGGGCGGGAGAGGGAGGGGGCAGCTCAGGCGCTCCACG